AGAGAGAGAGAGAGAGAGAGAGAGAGAGAGAGAGAGAGAGAGAGAGAGAGAGAGACTGAAGCGGCTTGTGTGTGCTTGCTTGCCTTTTTGGCTGTGGTCTAACGCTGTCACAGGTGAGTCCTCTGCAGGTGCAATGGTCTAACTCAGTGTATATGTGTAATGTGGGGATGTGAGTGAGTGCGAATGAAAAAAGGAGAGATGGTGAGAGGGAGAGAGAGAGGAGGAGAGGAAAAGGAGGAACCTGAAGTGGCTTGTGTGTATTTGCTTGGCCTTTTGTATGTGGTCTCACTCTCACACAGGTGACTCTGCAGGTGCAATGAGTCTAGAGGAAACTATTCGCGATGTTCGGGAAAGAGTTTGGAGCATCGGGGATGGTAAGTTTTTTTTTTTTTTTTTTTTTTTCCCCCCCCGCTGTGACTGGGGACTCGTGGGGAGTAGCAATAGCAATCCTGTAGTGAGCGATCCGTAGCCCTGTGATGCTGTACTGATTGTGTGTACAATGAGGACTTGAACTCTTGACCGCTGAATCCGCTGCAGCTATCCTGCAGCGATCGTGGGTGGAAAAAGTGTCCGCCTTCCGCCTGGCTGGCGGCGGTTGCAGCATGATCTTGACCTGTCTGGACGATAGTCAGGTCTGTACCATCGGGATCTGAACTCACGACCTATGAAATCCCTGTAGTATCCTGTAGCGATTGTAGCCGGAAAAATTGTCTGCCTGGCGGGCAGCGGTTGCAGAGCGGTCTCGTTGTTTCGTGCTTGAATCGTAGGGCCTTGTTCCACTTGCTTGGCAAATGTCAAAATGACGAGTGTATCTTGCCCTGGAACTGGTCAAGGTACGTCCACCATTTTCCGATCTGGCTTCCATTTTTTGGCTTTGGCTACCAATAGTGGGGGAACGAGGTCCGTACGAGTATGAGACGGGGCCCGTAAAATGATGTCTGATTTTGTTTCGCTGCCCGCTAGGGGAAAAAAAAAACTATTGTACCCTTTGCTTGTGTGGCATCTTTTTCGTTTTTTTCAGCTTTGGATCAACGAGTAGCAATCCATTCATCGTAAAAAAAAAAAAGAAGGTCCGCTGGTGAAACATTTCAGCATGTCCTGTGATCGTACCATGATGACACTGGACCCGGACCCAGGTGTATAGGTGTATGTCTACAGAATCGCATACGTTGACAATCAAAAGGATTGGCAAAGCAGCAATGGGTCCTTGCACAAAAAAACACTTTGAACAGGAAGGCGTCCCCGACGCCGCGTTTCGACGACAGCCACGTCGTCTTCCTCAGGGGTTTACCGCCAACTTCACCTCAACTATGCATACTATCCGCTAACCCACTTCTGCTACTCTCACCCCAGACAGTCTGGACTGTTTAGAGGCCGAGGAAGTACTTTGCCGGACACCCTGACCGGATGCAGGTCTGGACCAGTCCGGACATTGCAGGGTCTTAGAGAGTCCAGACTATCTGGAATATCCGGAAATGTCCGAACCTTAGAAAAAAAAAAAAAGAACCTGAAAAAAATTGTGTCATACTAGTCATACTAGATACTATAGTGTCACATTAGATAATATAGTGTCATATGAGATGATATGATGTCCTATATTAGATCAAATATACTATTGATGTTGTATTTACTATTGGTTAACGCTTAGTAAATCAGTATTGTGTGCACATTCACGGCTCTATTAAGGCACAGGCGCCAAGTGTCAGAAGGGGAGAGAGAGTTGGGTTTTTCTTCTCAGCTGACGAGCGCTTCCGGCGCTTGTCGGTGCTTCAGCAACGTGGCTCCTCTCTCGTGTTCATCTCTCTTGCATCAGCTGTCAGCATCTTCAATCGAAGACTGAGAGAGGAGGAGAGGAGAGAGGTTAGCGATGGTGGCCTCCTTCAACTGCCACGCGACAGTGCCCTTCTTTGATTAACTGGTGGCGGCATCTACGTTAGTGTTCACTCGTGTATGACAAGCCAATGGAACTGCCAAGAGTGCCTGGTTGTGGCATTAATGGGTGTCATGCGCCCTGAACTTGTGATGAAACACACACACACACACACACACACACACACACACACACACACACACACACACGCACACACACACACACACACACACACAAGTCTCTGCGCAGTAAGGACAATGAGCTTTATCAAGAAGTAGGTGTACGACGCTGTTGGATCGTACAGGGTGCTGAGGAAGTCATCTTAGATCTCAAGCAAAATGCATCATCCCTTCGAGGCCGCCCCCATATGGCAGATTTCACAACCATGTACACTAACCTGCCACATGATAGGATTCTTAACAATGTCCTAAATGCGGTTCGTGAAGCACATGATTACGCCTTGTTGCGTATCCCGCAGGGAAGAAGGCCAGTACAAATGYACATRACTGTRGGARGTCCGCATCGCRGGGAGTGGGTTACTTCACATGGATCAGACACCCTTTCYGTGTCAGAGATAGAACAGCATCTGCGGTTTGTGGTGTCGAACACTTATCTCTACACAAGGGATGGCACTCTGCGTCATCAGGTGGTAGGCATCCCTATGGGCACTAACGCTGGACCGGAAATTGCCAACCTTACGCTTTATTGGGACGAAGCACAGTTCATCGATGAATTACGACAGCAGGATCTACGCGCTGCGCAAGCACATGCATTTACGTACCGATTCATTGATGACATCTTATCTTGGAAGACATTACCGCCCCCTCCTGCTCGATATGGTCTTGAGTGGAAGGACACTACTGAGTAAGATGGGTCGTGTGTTTTCCTTGGGGCAAGAATCCTGGTTCGGTCGGATGGCTCACTTCGCATCGGCGTCTTTGATAAGGCTGAGGCCTGGACATTCCCTGTCATACGCTACCCCAGCGCTTCCTCTAATGCCCCAGCTCATCAGCCTGCAGGTGTGCTCACAGGGCAGCTGACACGATTTGAACACATCTGCAACAATACTGCCGACTTTAAGRCTGCAGTGACTTCCCTCACACGACGAATGCTCATTAGARGCCATCCCCCCAGTGTCCTGGCCAGAGGTTGGAATGCATACGTGCACGGCCGGCAGCGCCGGTTACCCACTCATGTTACACGGCTTTCGAACTGGTTTCGGCGCATGGTACGCTGGGCAATTGCCCACCCACTCCCGAATGCAAATTCTGTTCGCAGGTCTTTCGCACAACCGCACGCAATAGGAAACATCCTGCAGCCCGACCAACATCAGCCCTCCACAGCTGAAATTCCAAATGCTAATGAGARTACGCCAACCCGACAGGAGACCGGACCAATCGCAACAAATTTGGCCGAAGTGGCTGCAAGRGAGGAGGGCCAGCATCCTACGAATACGGTGGCAGTTCCMCCGCCGCCATCGCCGCCATCACCACCTCTGCCACCACCACCGCCATCATCATCACCACGACTGCCCCCTGCCCTATCACCACCACCCTCCCCACCACCTTTAGCACCACTATCGCAGCCGCCGTCGCTGCCAGCATCATCRTCATCAACCTCAACATCATCATCACCATCATCACATTCATGGTCAGATCAGCTACGACAAAGGCCCAGTCGGCGGACGCGTACCACATTGGACCAACCATTGCAGATGCCTCTTCGGCGGGTCCATTCTCCGTCTCCACCGCCGTCCCCAAGACAGCGGCCTCGTCTAGCCGTGAACGGCTTGATCACCGCGCCTCCAACGGCTACTAGAGATTTGCTCCGCCGACATGCTCACAACCGTTCGGAACGACAGCGTCGTCTTCGATACACAGTAGCCAGGAATAGTACACGCCGAGTCYGATGCCCGCAATGTGGGGATGATTTCTTCAGTGTTGCAGGCCTCCGTGTGCACCAGACACGAGGTGCAGCTACTTGTGCAGCATTTGCACGACTGGCAGCCGCTCTGAGCACAAGTGCAGCTGATCAGCTTCCGTTTTCAGCATCTGACCCACCCAGTTCTCACCAACTAGCCCCGTTTCTTCCCCTGCCCCAAATGACATTGACCCGTCTTCTGGCTACCTGATGGAGCCCCGGATTGAAGATCGTCTCTCTCCGGAGCGCATACTAGAGCCAATTGGTCAAGACCGCAATGAGTCTCCTCCACCTGTGCAATCTGCAGAATCGAACGAATCTCCTCCTGCTGTGAACGAATCTCCAGCACAACCCGCGGAATCCAACGATGTCATAGCGCTACAGCGAGGCCGCTGTGCGTATTATGCCATCAATGTATGTCTCCTTGCCTACAATTGTAACCCTTATTCGGCTGCTGATTTCGCAGACGTTGTCCGCTGGATAGAAGAAGAGCACCGTGCCGTAAGCCCAGAGGACGACAGTGCTGCACCTGGTGTGAACATAGAAGTCCTGGCTATGGCATTTATGGGTAGGCGACTACAATTCCAGCCTGCCCCTCAAAACCACGTGCCAGGCATGTATCCAAATATTCGGGCATATATCTTATATCGTCCAGGTCAATTTAGTGCTTTTACCTTTGCAGATAACTCATGGACCCTATGGGACAACGGCGGCAGGATGCACACAACAGGAAATGTTAATTCTTTCTATCACCAAATGGAGGAGGGTCACGCAGTCTGGCTCGTCCATCAGGAACAGTATGTCGATCACCACTCGCAAGCACTACAGCCCCTGCAGAGCAATCTGGCTGGTCCTACCACAAACAATGAACGGACCTCTCCAGAG